GCTCCAGGGTCATCCCATGAAGCTAGATGGGGAGAGATTTAGGACAGGGCAAAGGAAGTGCTACTTCACACAACGCACAGATCATGAGCTATGGAATTCCCTGCCACCGGAAGTGGTGATGGCCACCAATTTGAGTGGCTTTAAAAGGTTATTGGACACATTCATGAAGGAGGAGGCCATCCATGGCTTCTGGCTTTGCTGGCTGTGTGCTGCTTCTGTTACCAGGGGTGACATGCCTGCATACACCAGTTGCTCAGGTGCTTGGGCAGGTAGAACTCCAGGACCCCTCCTGCTTAAAGGATGCTCTGGAGAACTGGTTTGGCACTGTGTGAATGGCGTGCTGGACTGGACGGACCACTGGGCCAACCCAACTGGGCTGTTCTTATGTTCTTAACATCCTCTGTGGGTGCAGTCCTTCTGGTGGCTATGCTCTCAGCACTGCTCTCACCAGGTTGCTGCATATTCTCTTTCTCTTTGGCATTGCTACCACTTGCTTGACAGGCAGCAATCACTGAGCAAAGCACGAGGGCATCTCCTCCTCCTCTTCCTCCTCCTCTTCAGCACCATCAGTGTCTGGACCAGTGGTAAACATGCAGGTTGCAATAGTGAAAGGAAGAAGCAACTCCAAGGGGCTCATCAAAGGGGCCATGCTGGGGTGTGGGACCTTGGCAGGTGTGCAGTCATGCCAACCTTGGATGCTGTCACTCTTTTCTCAGTACCCTTATAATGGTTACCTCTGTATCTGTTGAATTCATGCCTGCAGTGTGTCTGTTCAGGGAACAAGCCTTTGTGGACTCAAGGAGACCTAGAAGAGGTAGAGAGCCGGTGTGGTGTAGTGGTTAAGAGCATGGGACTGGGACTCAGACGATCGGGGTTCTAGTCCCTGCTCAGCCATGGAGCCAACTGGGTGACTTTGGGACAGTCACAGACTCTCAGCCCAACCTACCTCACAGAGTTGTTGTTGTGGGGATAAGATGGAGGCGGAGGAGATGTAAGCTGCCTTGAGCCCTTTGTGGGAAAAAGGCAGGATATAAATTGAAAAATAAACAAAAATAAAAAAAAGATGCAGATCGATTTTGGAATAAGGGCCAATGCCATTTGGCTGGGAACTAATGAATGCAGCTTCCCATGAATGCCAAATGCTTTTGCTTGGTTTTCTCTAGGGATGTGCATACAGAGAAGCCCGAACTTGTTAAAATTCTCCATATTCTGCCTCAGAAGCTCATTCTGCCCCATATCTATACCAGATAGCAAGCCTTTTTTGCTTATACAGCAAAATTCATGTACATTTTAGTGCATATTTTCCCAGTAAATCAATTGTTCACTTCTCTGAGAAGCCTGCATTTTTCTCCAAATGACTGAAGCATGTTTGTGAGCAGTTTTCCATCATACGTCCGCCTTTGAATGTATTTTTTGGTCAGCAAATCACACTGTATGCTCAGAAATATATGGATTTTGACCACAGAGTTCATGCCAGTCTGTGGCCAGTCTAGGAGGTGTGAATGGGATAAAATCTGATAAGGCTATGAGCTGAAATGAATTTTCCCCTAGTTCTCTCCGTACCCCCATCTATCGGCCTTTTCATCTCCTTCTTTTTTAACTTTCCTTGCACCATGCTGTGATGTCCTTTCCATTCCTCCTTGCTCACCTGCCTGTTTCCCTTCTGCACTGCCTGTTTGCATCTCTCCTCCTCCTTATGCAGCTGCAGGACTGGCTGGTGGCATCACTGCAGGAAAGAGCTGGTATGCAGGAGAAAGTCTAATTTTAGTACCAGCATTGCTCCTTGTGGAGGTCAGTAGGCAATTGGTCTGGCTCTCTCCCTCCTTCCCTCCCTCCCTCCTTCCCTCTCATATGCGAATGGCAGAAATTTGATGGCGTATTCGCAGGAAACTGCAGTGCAATCTAAATACTGCAGGACTGCTCACCAAAGCTTGCAGCAGCAGAAATAATTGCTAGACATACGTTCACAAAAGCTCGGATGCAGTTTTATAAGGCACTAAATACAGCTGTTTGCAGAGCGTGGCTCGAACAAGAAAAAAGGCAGATTGCATTAATGGGAGATGGATTGTGCACTGCTTTCCATACTAATGGGCTGGTCCAAAGGGTTTTGCTGTCTTTGGGAGCTGAGCCAAAATAAATGTCAGAAAATAAATGTGAAGTTGCCACTGCATATCTTATGTCCAGCATTCACACAGAAAAAAAAAACAAAGCTAACCACATCCCCAGGTGTTGGGGGAATGCTTGAGGTTCCAGATTTTGAGAGGAATAAATGGAGCTTCGGAAGCCTGCTATCCAGATGTGATTTTCTGTCTCAATATTTATTAAGTGCTTTGCTGACAGGGAGGCAGCTAGTGCGTGTTTCATGCAAACGGTTATCACAAAACCTTACCTTTTGGAATCAAAACTCTCTCTCAAGCCTCTGATTGCAATCATACAGTGCATCTTTCCCCAGCTTGTGACCCTTTGGAAGCTTCTGCCTGTCCCTCACCATTGGCTATGCTAGCTGGGGCTGATGGGAGTTGTAGTCCATCTGGAATGCTCAAGTTCCCCATCCCTATCTGAATGCCACAGCTCCATTTGTCCTACATGTATAGGTGGCCCAGGCCACCTTTGCCAAGTGACCTCTAGAAGAGCACTCCTGAGGTCTTCAGGTTGAAAACAATCCCTTCCCCCTCTGCTAATGCATTGTTCTGGAGTGTCACTACAGCTCTGTGCCTCCAAATGCCACCCAAAAGATTTAAATCCTACCGATTTCCAGGGAACAGTAAACAGATCCTCAACTCCACACCTCTGCTCCAGTTGAGCATCTCAGGACAGAAAATGGTTTCACCCTGGTCTGGATTAGTCCTGCCTGTTTTGGGAGGGTGATGGTGCTAAAACAAAAAGACATGTAAAGAAGCTACCTGAGCGTGGTGGTGACCTGTAGTGGATCAAAGTTAGCCAGCGGTCTGATTGGCGCCTGAGTAGGGATGGGAGGGAAGGAATACATGAAGAGGGTTATGACTCAGTGGTGGGACACGTTCTTTGTGTCTACAAGGTCCTAACAGCCTGTGCAGCTGCTGCTTGCCTGTGTCAGGTATATGGAGCTAGATGGACCGATTCAGTCTGAGGCAGCTGTGTCCTTTAGGGTACATGCCAATTGCCTCCACTTTTAATGCCTTGGAACTCAGGTGCTTGAGTGCATGCTATGCCCTGAACAGGTGTCTGCCATGCCTCAGGCCCCCTTTTCTATCTGGATGGCCATTTTGAGCTGCTGGATCATGATGAAGGAGAAGGCACTAATGCCAGGGAAAGTCAAAGGCAGAAGAAGACTAGGAAGACCAAGTATGAGATGGTTGAGCTCCATCAAGGTAGCCCCAGCCTTGAGCTTGCAAGAGCTGAGCAGGGCTGTCATGGAGCGCACATTTGGGAGGGGTTACATTCATAGGATTGCCACAAGTTGATGACTGGAGGGCCCTAACAAGGACAAAGATAAAGTGCCACAAAGAGGAGAAGAGGAGCCTAGGACTCCAATAGTAATTGCCCTAAGCTTTGGGCTTCAGCCTCATCCCATCCCTGACCTCTGGTATGGGTCTTTTTCTCTCCTCCATGGTGCATTTGCTATCTTGGGAGAGGGACCTGGCCTGGTTCTTTCTCCACAATCTCAGGATCTTGGAGCTGGGACTTTGAACAATCCTATCAACCTCCCAGCAATAATGGGAGGCCACAGGACTGCATCAATTATAAATTAAATCCCTGGATCATCTTTTACAGTTAGCACAGAGTGCTTCATATAAGTGCTGGCCCAGATCCTCTGGCCTGGGGAGGTTGCAGAGTCCTCGGGCTGCTGCCGAGACTGCGGCTGCTAGGAGTGCCATCAAGCATTTGCATTCCCTCAAGTAAGCATGAAAGCCTTCATTATATCCCTGCTCAAAATGCACAATTAAGGTTCATTTTTGTCCTCCTTTTTCCAGTTGATTATTAGTGACTGGGGTTAGCTATTAAATTAACAAAGCAATATTTTCTGGAGCACTAACAGTTCTCTCTGACGTTAATTACTGCATATGTCTCTCCGGATAGTGAAGGAGGGAAGCATGTTGGCTTAACTACACTTTTTCTGTGATTTACTGCGAAGCGGACTGTGAAGCCTTAACTAACATCGATGACCATTTAGTCAAGCGGATAATCACACCATGTTAGTTGCAGGCACTGCTTATGCGACACCAAACACTTGTGCATGGTTTGTGAAGAAGGACGTGTCTTGGGTCCTCTTTTGTGACTTCTGCATCTTTGTGTCAGGTTGCAGGGTGGAGGAGAGAGGGCCAAATAGCAATGTATTGCTTTGGCTGGTAGCCATTTAAACGGAGTCTCCTTGTGCAGCAAAAAGTGGTGGCAAAATGAGCCATACTGGTTGTTGCTCCATGTGTCGTTCCTTTTTTGTGTTGTTCCTTTTTACAAAATTCAAGGCAAGCAAGGGGCGAGCTTGAAGAATTCTTTTCAGGTATCTTGCAAATGTGATTATGGAGCTCGTACACAGAGAAGCACTCAAAATGTGCACCCCCTTTAGACCAAGATCTAATCTTAAATTTGGGGTGGGGATACAATCCAGAAAGCCCTTGGTTTTGAAACCGGATGTAAACGTGTGGGGTTTTAATTGTACACTTGAAATCCAAATAGGAGGAAGGTCAACATATATATGTTCTTTTTTATTTAAATGGGATGAATACAATGTAATCAAGTGTGGTACAACCTATTTGACCACTTTGTTCGGCTGAATGTGTGCTCCGGGCTTGGGATCTGAAAAGTTCTCAGTTCTGCCAGACTCTGCCATAACCTTTTCATTTCTACTTTGCCCTGCAGCTGCGATTTCCGTTTTGGAAATCTTAAATTGACAACTCCTTATCCTGTGTCTTCTTTGAAGAAAATAATGTTCTTCCATTCAGCAAGAAAAGTGCAAGCATCAAACTATCTGTCATGGTGTTGTGGCTAACGAGGACAATCTTTGAATCATCTCTATACAGGGAATAAATCACAAGATAGTGGGATTGCAGAGATGGAAGAGCTTCCCGTTCCTCACAATATCAAGATCAGCAACATCACCTGTGATTCCTTCAAGATTTCATGGGACATGGATTCCAAATCCAAGGAACGCATCACTCACTACTTCATTGACCTAAATAAGAAAGAGAATAAGAATTCCAACAAATTTAAGCACAAGGTATGTTTTTGTCTGGAACAACAAAAGGAAATCAGTACCAGTAAGCATGAAATTCCACTTGCAGCTTTGATTCCTGTAACATTCTTGCTTGGGATATTTTGCTGGATGATGGCAATTTTACATCTCTCAGGGATATGTTCTACCAAAGGAGAGGCTTCCATTGAGTCTGTGCTCAAGCTTTTATGTGAGATGAGAGTTTCATTAAAATTTCAGTGGTGATCCGTAATATCTTTAATTGCTCTCTTTTGCTTAGGACATCACACATCGTGATCCAGCTGGGACTTAATTAGCCTCTTGGTTTCCTCGCCTGTCCAGAATTACAAAAGTGGAAAAGGCTAGCTAAGTCTGTGTAGCACCAGCCAAGCCACAATCTTGCAGTTGCCCTCATAGGTCTTGAAGTGTTCAGGCTTGGCCTCAGGGGAGAACCTAGAAGGGATGAATGGGATTTTTTTGTTATTGTTATTAACCTATGCTACAGGCATAAGTAGACTGAATCAATGGCTGTTACAAGTAGCTGATTTCCTCAAAACATGCATGCTGAAAATTCTTGTCCCTGTAACAGTTGTTAGTGTTATGTTAACGTGATCTTAACCTTGATCTGAAGTTGATCAGTCCAGGCTCACAAGGGGTTTTCACTGGCAAATGGGAGCTCCAACGAAGCTCCAGATCAGGGTGCTAACTCTGAATCAGAAATGTCCTCCATAGTTTAAGGATAGTTATGCCATTTTAAAATCACAAAGTAAGGTTAATCATAAAACACTCCTGCTGTGTACATATATATATTCAGAGTCCACAGTGCAAAGAGCCTACAAATGCTATGCAAGGGGGCCTGAAAAGGACACATCATATTTCTCTTTTGAAAGGTGGGGAAGGAAATGAAACTACAAGGCTCCTCTGGGACATCCTTCCACAGCATTGGGGCCACCTCAATGAAGACCCCGCTGCGGGATGCTGGCAATCTATCTTTGTGTAGTAAACATTAGGGACTAGGCTCCTATCCAGCAACAGAACTTGCATACCATAGAGCAGGGTCCAGCCAGTCTAGAGACTTTGTACCAAGCTAATCACAAGAACCCCTGTTGCACACTTCTGCTCCCTGCTGCACTGATAAAGCGGTGTCTGAAAGTGCCCCATGCCCAGTATCTTGGTAGGCCTAGCTCTGAGCCATGAGCATCTCTATTCAAGCATCAGAGACGAGTAAACCTGGCTCAGGAACTCCTAGACAATGAATGTCCAGCAAGACTTCCAGTTGTGACCTGGCTTCTTCAAGAGTTGCCTTAGCAGCTTTTATAGATGTGCACCTAAAGATGTCAGCTGATAAGTTGATCCCATTGGAAGTGAGAGACCAACACAAGCAACTGTGGGGGCAGATGCCAAATATATTAAAGGAGTTACTCCAGTGAAAAAGCTGCTACGATTCTCTTGAAGTGTTTTCTAGAAGCTGGGACACAACAGGAGGCATCACTGGGCAATTGCTGTCTAGGGCTGGAAACTGTGCAGAATCTCTGATGCTTAAATAGAGAAACCCATGGCTCCAAGCTGAGACCTCCTCTACTGAGATGTTGGTCGTTGAGCATTAAAAAAAAACCCCATAAGTTGCAGGAAGGAAAAATCAGTGCTGTTTGAGAAGATGTCCCAGGTTGCTCTGTGCAGTAGCATAGAAACAAGAAATTGAGAGAGTCAGAATGGGTCTCCCGGGCCATCTAGTCTGACCCCCAGCTCTAGCCAGCTCTACTCTTGACATGCCTACCATGTGCACGTCCAGCCTATACTTGAACACCCTCACTGTTGGGGCTTTAACCATCTTCCGTGGAAGCCCATTCCATACCCTCGGGGTCCTAATTGTCAGGAAGTGCTTCCTGGCATCCAAATTGAACCTTGGTCCCCTGAGCTTGGCCCTGTTGAAGTGCGTCCTGCCTTACCCTGCAGGGGAGAACAGGTCTCTACCTACCTCCATGTGACATCCCCTCACATACTTATATGTTGCCAACAGATCCCTTCAGACTCTTCTCTTCTCCAGGCTGAAAAGACTCAGTTCCCTCCGTCTCGCCTCATACGTCTTTCCCTGCAATTCAGCCACCATTCTTGTGGCCCTACGCTGTGCTGATTCCAACCTGGCTATATCCTTCCTGTAATGAGGGGCCCAGAACTGAACACAACACTCCAGTTGTGGGTGCACCAGAGTTGTATTGAGTGGCAGTAATACCTCTCTTGATCTAGAAGCCACGTTTCTGGCTAATAACCACCCATCTGCGTAGTCATGCATGGGGCTCCTCTCACACTCACACTCCTTCCCCTGTTTCTTCCACCCATGAGGGAAAGGAAAAGACAGGATCACTTCTCAGTGCCTCCTGATGGATCCTAGTGGGAAGCCACCACTTGGAAGCATTGCAAGGGTGCAATGCATGCATATTTAGGCAGAAAAAGCTCCTACAACTTTGGGCATGCTGAGAGCACCACGCCTTTTCTTCTATCTAAAAGTGTGTCCTAAATATTTTTGCAATGGGTCAGGAGCATTTCAAAATTATCTTTATAATTTTGCCTCATTTATATACTTTTCCTTTGCCATTATCTGAAATGCCTTTCAGCTGGAACCTAGTTAGCGATGATTCATCAGTTATGTAATTAGATTCTTGTTATAATGTCTGAAGCATTTAACCTTTGGGGAGCCCTAATCTGTAGTCTCGAGATCCATGAGCTTGGTTTTCGCAATTAAATTCTGTCGTGAGGAATAGCCAGCTTTACAATGGCCCTGAAAGCAAACACAAGTAATGGCTTTCTAGTGGTTATTCCATAAACTCTTCTTCCAGGGGACTCACTGTGTCCCTCTGCATAGAGGATGCTAACCTTGCCTTGTAAAATAATGTACAGCCTTTCAGCAGCCTGTCCCTGGTTAAAGCTGGTGCAGCTGCCCTGAGGGGCAGGAGGAAAACGAAAGGATTACATCATTTGTCAGAAGCCTCATTCTGATCTCAGCAGGCCACAGCTGAAGCCCCAGGACTGAGCAGCTCCCACAATGAGACCTGTTATAAATGAGCCCATTTCCCTGGGAGACCCACTGTGGACTTGGACAAGGGAGCCCCAGTCTGCTCATCAAACTCACTGGGCATCTTGGCCTGTCTCTGTCTCACAGTCTGACCTGCTTCCCAGGATTACTGTGAGGATCAAACAGGGATTGCCCACGGGTGCTGCCCGGGGCATCTTGGAGAGCAGGCAGGGTGGAAATGCGGTACACGGGCAGGACAAAATCAAGCAAAATGGGAGTGCAATGCCATCTCCAAGCTGCAGCCATTGGCTCTTGCAGCAGCAAGAGTTATTTTAAACTAAAGCTCCTCCTATGGCAGGGGTGGGGAGCCTTCGTGGCAGTCCGTTGCAGCCAGCACACTAGCAGTGGATGGGCCGAGACCCCCAGGGGCTCAGCTAGAGCTGAATGTGGACAGGCCACCCCTCCACCTTTCTCTCTGAGAGTGGGAATGTCTGAGCTTTTCAGCGGTTGGAACTGAGTGCTTGCAGGAGACCTCGAAATTAGGCTCAGGGCCTCATTAAATTTAGCCGCAGCCTGCCCACCTTTGTGCCACTGCCCTTTCATTCATTTATGGGCTGCTATTTATTTATTTGTTTGTTTGTTTATTTAGGGAACTTCTATGCCGCCCCATTCGCCGAAGCCTCCGGGCGGCTCACAAACATAAATAAATAACATCATACAAAACAATATAATTTAACAGTATAAAGTAAGTCACCCTGGCCAAAGAATAAAATAAATCAATAATATTAACAATTAAAATAACGTTTGAATAAAAAGGTCTTCGCCTATTTGTACCTGGTTTGCCCAACAGACCAAACCACTGTGGTTTAGTGCGTTGTGTGAGCCCGGCATGGTGTTGTCAGGGTGGCTTACAGCTGGGTCCAAGGTTGCCCTGAGGAACCACGGCTTGTAGCAGGGTTTCTGTCGGCCTGAGTCGTCGTGTCATCTGGAGCACGTGACCCATGGTGGATCGACCTCAGCTGCTAGCGGGCTGCTTAGCCAGAGTAGCCAAACCCTTGATGATCTCACCAAGGGGCTAGTGGGCCAGCTCCAGGGCCAGCTGCCCCAGAAGTGCCAAGCAGCACTTGCAGGCATCCGAGAGTGACGCCGCTTTTCCTGGCTGCAACCGTGAGCCATTTTTGGCCTGCCCTAGCTTCCCCCCATTTATTTGTTGATGGGGACTGGGAAAGGCAGTTGCAAAGCTGCCTTTTGTGATCCCTGTTTGGGCAGCTATGAGCCATCAGGCTCCTGCGACACGTGGAGGGGCTGCCTGTGCCTGGCCCTCCCCACGTGTTTAACTATTTGCTCACAACATATGCACGTAAGATGCACAGGTGCAAATCCTGAGGTCCAGAGGTGCACACATGCAACCGGAGGGGAGCCATGCAACACCTGCACAGGTAGGGTCCATCCAAAAGTTCCCAGCCCAGAAAAAGAAATGTTTAAGCCTTCTGCGTCTCACTTTAAAAATGGAGCTGCCACTTTTGTGTCAGTGGTTGGTTATTTATTTATTTATCATATATTTATTTAGATATATTATTTGTAAATACATTCATTCATTCATTCATTCATTAAAAGCCTTTCTAGGCTGTTCACTACAAGCGTCTTGGGACAGTTATCTGTCAAAGTAGTTACTCCCATATATGAGAATTCTTCTCCCCTTTTGGTAGAGTATCGGCAACAAGTGTTAAAGTGAGGGGATCCTTGGGAGTTATTAGTTTCTCCAGAAGGGAGGCAGGCAGGCCTTGAGAATCTTATACAAAGGGATATTCGAGGTGCTGTGACTAGTGAGGATCACTCAGACTTTGGAACCCTTTCATGGCTAAGCTTCTGATAGCTGTCCAATGGTCCCAAGGAGAGAAAGCTGACCTACAGCCTCAGGCTGAGCACTGCACAGGGTGATTAGACCTTGCCAGAAGCACCCTCCCTGCAATCGTCCCCATGGCTGCACCCCACATCTCCAGACTTCCGGATT